CCCCCCGCGCCGCTGCCCCAGCAGCCTCGCATCCGCGCTGTCCCGGGCGCCGCGCTCCGCCCACTTCCGCCGGGCCACTTCCGCCCGGAAGGGGCGGGAGAAGTCGCAGTAGGTTTGTGGAGGGCAGCCGTTGCTATAGAGACCGAGGCCTCTGAGCCTGGGGAACTCTTGTGGGTGTTATTTCCCCTAAATGATTATTGTTGCCTGAAAGATTCGGTGCTGGTGGCAGAATGAAAGTCTTGTAGCTGACTGGGATAGTAATACTGGACAAATCTCAGGTTGCATTATAATTCTGCTGATGGTTAATGTACAAAAGTTGTTTTTCAGTTTGGTTACTTAAAAGTATGTTGCGAGTTCAACAAAGATGATCAAAAATATTGCTACACAGTAGACTGATTCAGTATAAGCCTGTTCCTGTGCATATTTTAAAATTCCATGAATTACAGAAGTAATATGATAACAGTAATAAGATCAGACTACAAGCCAACCAAATGAATAATACATATAATACATTTACAGTTCACTAAATATGTACTAGGATTAGATGATAAAGTAATAAAGTATGGCAAGAGTGAAACAACTCCCTACTGCCTAAATGATTTATTTACTAATCAAGGAAACAGTTTTGGGTAGGAATAGTACTGCTGGAAGCATATGAATTCTGCAAAATATTTTCAACTCATTTTAATAAAATTGTAGTATTGATTAATGGTAGCAGTTTTGTGAGCATCTGGCTAAGGAAACATGTTATAGTAAACATTAAAAGAATCATTCACTTAATGTGTTAATATTTCCATTTCAGTCTTTGTCTATATGTGTTTTTTCCATTTTCTAGTACTGAAAGTTATGTCAAGCAGCCAGTAGCTTGTGACAATTGCCAAAAGCAATAGCTTAAAGTCCTATCTTGTGAGATCTTGAACACATCTTGCAAGCTGCTGATCTTCCTCATTTCTCATTAAAGTAAAATGAAATTGAAGACCTTGTATTAAGTAGGTTTGAAATAATAACAGTGTCATAAGGAGCCTATAAACTTTGAAAATGTAAAAATATTTTCTTTAAGACTGCTAAATAGGAATATGCATCTTTTCTTGTAGTCACAACTCTCTCTCTTCCTAAAATTTTGTCTTTTATCAGCTAATCAAAATATAGAGGAGGAGGCTAAAAACAGCTAGCTCCAACTTTAACTATAGATTGACCATTATTTCATAATATGCAGTCAATAGAATTGCAGCAAAACCCCCAGTTTCTCTCTTTTTTTTCTTTTTAAAATGCATTCCCTCCCCTTCTGCGACCATTTCGGACTTTCCCTCTGCCCTCTCTATCCCTTATAAGTGTTTACAAGTACTAGGTAAGCTAGGCTAAGTTCTTATACTCCCACATTGTAATAAGCCCCCTTTTTTTATATTGCAAATAGTGTTCTGTTCTGTTTGTATTGATTTTTACTGTTTTATATTGTATTATATTGTATTCCTAGCATTTGTGCACTGATTTTTACTGTTTCATATTAACATTGTATGTGTAACCCAGGTGGTACTCCAAGAGGTCCCCCCTCTCTAATTGAAGGGGTCAGAGCAGGTGCACAAGCGCTGTCGGAGGTGTAGGGACTCTCCTCCCTACAGAGCAGAGCCAGACCACCAATGGGGACTTAACCATATACCTTTTAATACTGGGAACATAACAGGCATAAATCAGAGGGTATAGTGGACACTACAATGCCCCAAGGGGGCAGGATTCAACAAAGGTTAGACACTTACAATCATTGACAAAAGAACAGGGTTAACAAAA